TCCCATCCTGGCATTTTAACTATAAATAGTTAAAAGATGAGTAAAAGTTAAAAAAAAGTAAAAATAAGTTTGAAAAATCGCAAGACAATATTTGAAAAATAGTCATTTTTGTTTCCGAGTTATAGAAAACTTATTGGGCATCCGGTACACGAATTGCAAGTATTGTATTTTCTGCATTGCTAACAAAAGAGCAACTGGGCCTTACCTCTACTCTTACCATTACAGCAAAGGAAAAGTTCACAAAACGTGCGCATAGTGAAGCTACATTTACCGTACAAAAGCAAAACAAGGGGCCATCTCAGCATTTGCTCAATGGATCAGGACAAAACTGGCGACAAAAACCTGATCGAGAGGAGGTTCATTGGTCCGGAAGACTGAAGTACATTATTTATTACAAACATATTAAGTTTTTTAAATATACAATACAAATGTAACAACTAATTCATTATATATCACTGTTTTGTTAAAATACACATTATTTTTCTTTTTGATAATCAGTATAGTCTCTAATTGTATAGAAACAGTTATGCAGCAGACAAAGATTTTACTTTTAACTTAAATTTGTGAACCGACTTCAATTGTTTAATGTCATCTGGCAGTGTATTTTAAAGTAACGTACATGTATTGTATGTACATTTCTGATAGTCAGCTGTTGATACTGACACTTGATGAAAGTGATTTTTACGACGTGTGTTGTAATTACAAATATCAGTATTGCATGAAAATATGTTCGCACCGTTAAGTAAGACACTTTTGACAAATATTACAGATTCGCGAATATGAAGGGAAATAAAAGAGTTATGTGTTTTATTAACGTTAAGAAATGTTAAGAATATATGTTAATATTATTAACGTCATAAGGCCGATAAACACCAAATAACCAACCAAGACTGTTATTTGTGATATCGACCGTGTATCGTTCAATACTTTTCGAAATACCATTTTCTTATACGAAAAAATAATAATATAAATAAGAAACGCTTTTTCTAATAATATATTTTCCTTATTCGGCATAAAAATGTCTTTCAAGGGTTCACATATATCGACGATATTCACATAAATTGCATTAATTTTTGGTATATTATAAACAATTAAACATTAAAAATAATTAACAATTTTAGAGGTAGTTCGAGGAAACGGCCTCTGAACAGTTATTTTAATTTTCATGATTTGTTACTAATAGCGTATCAGTTTAATTAAGGAGGATGTAACAAATCAGAAACATCTTTAATTTTAATACGTAGGATTGCACAATCTCGAATTGTTGCTTCAGATGTGACAGTTACAAGAAGGCCAATATTTTACCGTAATAATATATTAGAACATTTTACTGAAAGCTAATGTCTACTTAAAAAAAGGTATTGTAATTTTTGGTATTTTTAGAGCATATCGACGAAGTAAACTTGTGTCATTGACTACTGATGTTATAGAAACCACTAGCAACGGAGTACTAGTTACACAAAATTGCACAAAAATAAAATAAACAAAAAATATAATGTTTGTGATACCCAAAGACAGTCTTCCCTTCAATGCGTGTGATTTTTATTAAAATATTCTAACATACTATGTCTATCTAATATAGAAACGAGACACCTTTTCGTAGATTAAAGAAATGGAAAATATACTAAACAGGTTGTGGACATAAACACAATACTAGACACTCCAAAAAATATAACGGAATTTTTAAATTTAGACTCTCTTGAGCTCTTAACAGGGCATTGTTTTCAACGATCATCAGCCACAATGCTAGTTGTAAACGGTTGCGATCTGCTCTCGTTGAAAGAACTTGAACGTTTGAATAATTGTTCATTCAATACTCAGATACACTATAATGAGAAATACGTTAAAAATAATAATAGTATGATTGAACAGTAGAAACTTACTTTTGTAGGTGTTATATATGTTGCATGTGTGCATGTTACTTATTTTGTTTGTAATCTGTTCTCGAAGTTTAATAAATAGTTTGAAGATCACTCCGATACTTAACCGCCAACGGCCATTACGTTTACCTTTTCATTCCTCTGAGGGGTTGGCGTTATGCAGATATAGTATCTGACTATTACGAAAATATTTATTTACTATGTAAAGATCATTAGCGCGGGTGGTTCTTGACGTGATAAATAAATCAGTCTCATCTTTAAATAACCTGAAAGTTATCAATGGTAAAGCAATTTATTGGTAATGGTAAACCACAACTTCCAAAGACTAATGTGAAAAGAAACCTTCAAAAATATATTAAGCTAGCTTTGCAAAGAAGCAGTTCCCTTGCGTGTGACGAGAGCATAGTGCATTTATTAACGATCATTGATATAATTCGTGAACTTTTTGTATCAGTGAATCATTGACCGTGAAGAACTGATGTTACTAATGAAGTAGTAAGAATAGGGAGACCTAAATACTAGAATTCAAAGCCTCCAAGTCCTAGCCCAAAAGTTCTGTGTTTGTTACGCGGAGATCCGTATATTTGAATGCAGCAGCCGATATGGTCGGTGAGCAGCGCGCCAGCGGTGAGTAGCGGAACTTTTAGCTGTAAGAAGAAAAGACCGGAGTGCCGAGACCTTTATGCATGCTAGCGGGCTATGATCTGACTTACCTATGTATGACGCAAAGCATTATGAAAATCCATGAGAAACAACTTCAATTTAAAGACAAGAATATCCATTTCGTAATATATAACACCTAATTAAGGTCATGCAGTAACTAGACGGAATGTTGAAAACTAGTACTAAAATAGCACACACGTTCTCGCGTTCTATGTAACAGCTGCGCAACATTATAATAATGCATGAAATTGCAAAAGTGTGATCAGCAAAAAATATCTTCTCCGCGCGAGAATTGGAACTAAATTTCTTAGGGAGTGCGGGCCATTTTTCTTACATATACGACAGCACCTTGCACGCTGAACTCTACCTTCCAGACGCTTTAAAAAGTTGAACATTTGCATTTGCAATTTTCCATTTTCAAATATTTTCATTTACATAAATTCAAGATTAGATTAAAGAAGATATTTCATTAAGGAAAAAATTTCGATAGTCAATATTGTAGTTTTGCAGTGTTAAATCATTGTTTCCAATTTTCGAAAATACAAAGTTCACTGCAAATAGGGCCTGCACCATTTTTAAGCGACCCATTAAAAAAATTGAGCCGTTTTTATTTAAAAATAAATTGCATTAAATTTATGTGAAAGTTACGCAAGAACAGATCATTCTTTTAAAAATGTATCTTAATCTAATAAAAATCTTATTTAAAGATGTATTTTTTTTAAATATATTTCATTGTGTAACAAAAATCTCTACCATAAAATGGTAGTTTTGGAATAATTTTTTGTAACTTTCGAAAATCCAGAGCTCGCCGACAGTCGGACCTACGCCATATATATTTAGGCGGTTAATGCACTATCCGACGAAAATATTCTAAGAAAAAAGTGGAAGCCATTTGTGACAAAAGAATGGTATACAAATTGCCTGTATGTCACACGAAAGTATGCGTAAATGACTCTTATCTTCAAGAATTGTTCTATATAACCTTATTTAAAGATCAATTTTTGAAGTAGAGATTTTATTTTAAAAATTAACTTCAACATCGTGGTTGTGACAAAATGCCGAAAATTCTAGAATTATTGAAAGTTCAGAACTTTCAACAAATATGAGACATGCTTCATTTTTTAAGTGTCCTTTGCAGTATACGAAGAAAAAGTTTAATAAAACATTGAGATTTTTTCAGAAAAGTTTGAAAATGTTAAGGCTCAAAAGTTCTCCCGAAATCAAAATATCCGCTTCTAACTTGTGGGGAGTTGAGGTCCTCCAAATCGATTGGGGAATATCAATTTTGAAGAAAATACTTATGATCGCTTTAGGCGCTAGCTTCGGTGAGGGACTGAAGGACATTTTTTGTAGACAGACGGAGAGAAACAATTTTTTGCAATCAAGGGTTCACAAAACATGGATTCAAACTGCAGAAGGTGTTAGAAGAAGTAATTTTCTACTTAGAGAAACAAAATGTATCCACTTTTTTGATGCTAGGGACCCACCATGCGAGTATTTCTGCCGAAAAATAATTTGGATTGAGGGACCCGTATAACGTAATTTCACATTTCCCAGCTTCGTCTTGAAAAGACAACTGTTCTAAATTGAGAAATACCAACATCAGGAATTGAATTTTGAATTTCTCATCCTATTTTCAGTATTCAGTAACTTCTGATCGAACTATTTGCATTTCTCTGTAAAGGGGAAGAAGAGTCGTTATATGTAAATATTCCAGGAAAGCACCAAATTCATTTGAATTATGTTTCGTGCATAATGTCTGTCTATCTTATACTATCCTGATAGATAATATTGTTCCATTTACGTAATGAAATTTCATTTCCATATCTTTTCGATAAGTGACCTATTTTACAACTCACATGAAGAATCGAATTAACATTCATTTTTGAACCTAATTTTAGGGAGAGAGTGACCAAACATTCTAAAAGAATAAAAGGCGATCATTTAATAAAACAGAAAATTTCAAAGTAGCAAAGTTTTTTTACATTATATTTTCGGTTAATTCTGCTGTCAATATTACGAATTTTGTGTTTCGCGGATTGTTTCGAATATTAATAAATCAAAATACCTTCCTGATTAAAAATTCAATTGGACAATTCACAATTAACAGCAATGCTACTATAGAAATAAGCGCAATAATATATTATTCAAAAACGGCCGAAAACGATTATTCATAATGTTTTAAATATCTAAACATTTCATTGAAAGTGTGGTTTTCTCTATTCATTTAGTTTCCATTATCGTACATCCAGTTCTTTCAATTAAATATTATTCTGTGCCATGTTGAATTGTTTAATTTAATTTATAATTAGCATTATTAGAGCATTGCAACAACTGCAGTCTCACTTTAACCGCTTGATGATTGTAATGCCAGCATCAACATTTATGTTTAATGTTTATTTACATGTCGGAAAGAGTAATCTTAATGAATTCAATATTTTTCATCGTTCAACTTACCAATATTGTTAGGAGATGTGTGTTCCACATATGTTGTAGACATTGTAGCACTCTCCGAAGTTGTAGAGGTAACTTCTAAATCCACTGGAGATAACGTTGATTCTACAGAATTTGATGTAGTAGACGCACTGACGGATGTTAGGTTCGTCATTTTTGAACTTTTATGAGCGACTGTTGTTTTGTGTCCCTCTGAAGAAATTGACGAGACTTGTTGATCAGTAGTCAGTGATGAAACAGCGTGTCCTGGTGAGCTTGATCCACTTGAAGGTGCCTCCGCTGCATGCCGAGTATCGTCCTTTGTCAGATTTTCCTCAGTAGAACTTGCAGAACCAGAAGTACTTACAACCACTTCTGATTTTTCAGTTGTTGTTGAAGTACTTTTGGTAGCGCCAACTTCTGTCGACTGAGTATGTGTTAGTGTTGATGGCTCTGTAGAGGACACGGTAGAGGACAATACTGTAGATGCGGTAGTAGAATTATTTAGATTTGTAATATTTTCCTTTTCTGGAGGTATAGTATAGACAGGAGGTAGATTAGCGTTATTTGCTGAAAATGTGCTAGAAGCGAGTGTTGCTGCAAGTGAAGTACTTTTGATGTCCGTTGATGTAGGTGTTGGGTCCAAAGTGGAGGCATGCCCTGTCACATCCGTAGATAATGTCTTTGAATCTTCGCTCGTTGAACTTATCGGCGTATCTGTTGATGTTTCCAATAATTCAACGCCCGACACGCATTTCACCAACATCAGTGATGCCAAGAGAACGAACATTGGAAGAACCTGTTCGAAGCGCACTCGACTTGCTAGCATTCCAGACATGTCCACTTAAGCACTGTTTGCATTTGAAGTCACCCTCTGACGCCAGAACAAGGCGGAAAGTAAAACCTAATCTAAAAGCACTTCCTCCAGCGATACCCCCACCTCCCTTGCCAACCCAATTAACGAACTTAATATTCCTTCTGAGAAAGTGTGGTCGAGGACTGGAAAAGTGAACTTGCTAAACAGGTTTACTTGTACGATTACAAAAGCAATATTTCAAATAGTGTCCTCACATAATAGAAAATTATTATTATTATTATTATTATGATGATTATTATTATTATTATTACTATTATTATTGGTATTATTATCATTATTATTAACTACCACCACCACCAAATTATTTAACTTTACTGTATTTTTATAAGAGGGCGTCAGCTTGCTGGGGCATGCAAATCGAAAAATTGTTTTTATACTAGAAAGTATTAGATTATTTTCTGCGTTCTTACATATCTCAAGAAAAGCAACTCAGAGCTAAAAAAATAAGACAGCTCATATTTTCACCTTTGAATAATAAATATATTTTGTTACCATTAGAAACAATTCAGTAGGCTTATAATTCACTTCGGTACATGGGAATGTTGCTCAAACGATGTTACGAATTGAATATCTCAGTGAACCGACAACTT